TGCATCCCTAAATAAAAGTATGTATGATCTGTGCAGATATATTGATTCAATATCTGTTGTATTAGAAAATAAAAAAGGTTGTATTGAAACATCCCTGGTTAACAGAGAGGGTACTATATGGCACTTAAGGTAGGGGTGAACTTATGTGAAAGTTTGGGGACAATATTTTATCTATGGCACATAACATCTGCTGTGAACAAACCACCAGAGCAAACGCTGCTCCTCTGCTGCAGCTAAACACGCCGCTATCGCTGTAAAAAAAATACCCCCCTATTCAGTAAAATGTTCTGAAATGGAACCAAGAAGGAAATAATCTTTAGTTGATAATGTCTGTCCAGTTCTACTATTTGGACCATCATATCCATTAATGTAACCGGATATCATCCAATTCTTATTTTGTATTTTCCATGTTTATTTTTTCTATATTTGATTCTTTTTTTATGCTTATGCACAGCAAAGAGGTTTCTTCATGGCCGGTTCAAATTCTGCTTTTCAGTTTAATGGGAGCACAGCTTTAGAGGAGAAATTAATTATTAATGAACAGCAGGATCTGGTGATTAAAGAGTAGAAAACTGCTTTATCCAACTTTAGAGAATTTCTAAGTGGGTAAATAAAATCAAATTGCAGATATCTGTGACCTAATCCTTCCTCAGTATGGAGTTATTCTCACTTCAGATCCTGCAGAAGATCCTTAGCATTGAGCATTGTGATGAGGGAAGTGGTGGCAGCAGGGATGATGATGATGGGGGTTCGGGATCCTGCAAAAAAAAGGTTAATAAAGCCTCAGAAAGGAACAGAAGATTAGGAGATACCTTATAATATGTATATAGTCATAGAAAATGCAGCAGAGGTGTACCTTTCTTCTGGTTTGGTGGAGGTCTGGCTTGTGAAACTAAAAAGACAAAGATGACATTTTTGCAGATAAACATGTTTAAAACTCTGAAATAAGATGGTTTTACATTAAGACGTTAATCCCCAGAATGTGACTTTCTTCTATAAAAGTGATGCTGCTTTTTTTGCTTCATGAAGGGAACCAAAACATGGAAAAACTGCAGGAGCAGTTTAGGTCCGTGTCTCCTCAGCTGCCTAGCAGCCATGTGACTCTGCTGTTGACAAAAAGCCCCTTCATTCAAGCAATTTAATCCAGACATCAGAACATTTCTCTTGATTTGGTCATGTCTTATAAAAGGAAGTCAGAAGGGATCAGTTTAAAGAATCTGTTTTTTTTTTTCCCCTCTCAGTTTTCCAATATAGCTTCAGGTGAAGAGCAAATTAGCTTCACTTATTGAGAGAAGAAAAGATTCTCTCTCATCTCAGAACAGGACTTCTTTTCTTACTGAACATCCTAATATTCTGTGACAACCAAATGTTTTCCTGCCCCTCTTTAAATGTCAACAGGATGACGGCTCATTGATTATAACTGATGCATAGTGGAGCTTAGAAATCACTACGGACCTGGACGGGGAACCGGCTGCAGCGCCGGGGTCTGGGCTTTCCGAGCAGATGCTCCTTCCTGAGAAAATACAAAACAAATAATAAAAAAAAAGGTTACACACAAAGAAAATCACGGTGAGAGTAAAAAAGCTGCATTAGAAAAACTAGGGCGGGGCGATGAATTGGATTTTAATCTGGATTACCATGTTGGATTTTAAAAATGAAATTATCTGATTATTTCGCCCCTTCACTCTCATGCTGTTTTCTGTTGCGAATCAAGCCGCCCTAACACGGCAGCGCTCTGCCGTAGATGCATTAATCAAGCGGATATTTTTCCAATTTGGTTTGACCATCTGAAAATCCGACTCGGAGATGGTACGAGAAGACGTCCAGCGTGATGTGATGGAGCTGCACCGTCTCCTCCAAACTGTTTCCATGTTGGGCAGACATGGAAACAGTGGCTGCATATGGCGTCTCTAGGTTTAGGCCAAATGATCAGGGAAAGCCCAGTGACTCAAAGGAAGTTTTGTTTGTAGATGCTGGAGATCGGCCTGTTTACCAGTGTAGTCCTGTTTCTCTGACTGTGACTAACTGGATGTGCTCTCTTCATCCTCTAGCATGGGAGCTGGCTCAGAGCTCGTACACCTGGCTGTGTGTTTCCTGGACGGGGCCGCCTTTTACAGCTGCTTTTTGTATCTCTGCTTC